CCTAAAATTCACATGGAAATGCAAAAGACCCAAAATCGCCATAATGATTTTTTTTTTTTTTTTTAGATGAAGTCTCACTCTGTCACCCAGGCTGGAGTGCAGTGGCATGATTTCGGCTCACTGCAACCTCCACCCCCCGGGTTCAAGCGATTCTACTACCTCAGCCTCCCAAGTAGCTGAAACTACAGGCATGTGCCACCACCCTCAGCTAATTTTTTGTATTTTTAGTAGAGATGGGGTTTCACCATGTTAGCCAGGATGGTCTCAATCTCCTGACCTGGCGATCAGCCCATCTTGCCTCTCAATGATTTTTAAAAAGAATGACGAAATTGATTTTCACTACTAAATTTCAAATCTTACTCTAAAGATACAGTAATCAATACAAAGTGGTACTGTCTCAAGAATAAAGATGAAAGAAGCTAAACTGTGAGTCCAAACATAAATATTTGTGTTTATCGTCAATTTATTTTTCACAAAAGATCCAAGTGCCAACTCAACCCAACATATATAGAACAATCAATCCAATGACTGCTGAATACACATGCTTTTAAAGTAAACATGGAACATTCTCTAGGATAAACTATATATGAGGCCAATGTATCCATTAAATGTAAAAAGAATAGTCTTTTTAAGAATAGTGTATACACCTTCAAAAAATAAACTTAAATTATTACTTCACACCATACACAAAAAATTAACTCAAAATGGATCATACACCTCAATATAAAAACTAAAACTATTAATTTCTAGGAAAAAAAGATAAAATCTTCATGAGCTTAGACAAAGTTCTTAGATATAACAGCAAAAGCACAAACTATTATTTAAATATTTTAAACTTCATCAAAATTTAAGACTTTTGCACTTCAGAAGTCACCAATAAGAAAATAAATGCAATGAAGAAAGGATTTCCTGTTTAGTAAATAGTACTAGGAGAACTGGCTAGCCATATGAAGAAAATTGAAGCTGGACCCCTTTCTCATAACATATACAAAAATTAACTCAAGATGGATTAAAGACTTAAATGTAAAAGCTGAAACTATAAAAACCCTAGAAGAAATTCTAGGCAAAACTGTTCTCAGAAAAAAAAAAAAAAATTCACCTGGCTCATTCCAGGCTGTTCTTGAAAAAAAAAAAGAAAAAGAAAAAGAAAATCTAGGCAATACCATTCAGGACATAGGTATGGGCAAAGACTTCATGATGAAAACACCAAATGCAATTACAACAAAACAATTGACAAATGAGATTTAATCAAACTAAAGAGCTTCCGCACAGCAAAAGAAATCATCATCAGAGTCAAGAGACAACCTACAGAATGGGAGAAAATTTTTGCAATTGATTCATCTAACAAAGGCCTAATATCTAGAATCTACAAGGAACTTAAAATTACAAAAAAACAAACAACCCCATTATAAAGTGGGCAAAGGACATGAACAGACACTTCTCAAAAGAAGACATACATGTGGCCAAGAAACATGAAAAAAAGCTCAGCATCACTAATTATTAGAGAAATGCAAATCAAAACCACAATGAGATACCATCTCACACCAGTCAGAATGGCTATTAATAAAAAGTCAAAAAACAATAGATGCCGGTGAGGTTGTGGGGGGAAAACGAATGCTTTTACACTGTTGGTGAGAGTGTAAATTAGTTTAATCATTGTGAAAGACAATGTGGGAATTCCTCAAAGACCTAGAGGCAGAAATACCATTTGGCCCAGCAATCCAATTACTGGGTATATACCCAAAGGAATATAAATTATTCTATTATGAAGATATATGCACACATATGTTCGTTAGAACACTATTCACAATACCAAAGGCCTAAATGCTCATCAGTGGGCATCAATGGGCTTTATCCAATGATAGACTTGATAAAGAAAATGTGATACATATACTCCACAGAATACTATGCAGCCATAAAAAGGAAGGAGATCATGACATTTGCAGGAACATGGATGGAGTCAGAAGTCATCATCCTCAGTAAACTAATGCAAAAACAGAAAACTAAATACTGCATGTTCTCACTTATAAGTAGGAACTAAATGATGAGATCACATGGACACATGGAGTGGGGACAACACACACTGGGGCCTGTCAGTTGGGGGCAGGGAGAGGGAGAGCATCAGGAAGAATAGCTAATGGATGCTGGGCTTAATACTCAGGTGATGGGATGATCTGTGCAGCAAGCCACCATGGCACACTATGTTCACCTATGTAACAAGCCTGCGTAACCTACATATGTACCCCTGAACTTAAAAGTTGGGGGAAAAAAGAAAATAAATACAATATTTATAGAAAATATTCATGAGAAAAAAAATTTAATCCACAAGTTGGAGGAAATATGCAGAAATCATGTATCTGATAAAGGACTTGTATACAGAATATATAAATAACTCCTACGATTCAATAATAAGACAAACAATTAATAAGACACCATTAATCCAGATGAAGACCACAGGCGGGCTGTTCAGGGAAAAGCATTGAATGCAGACCAGAAAGTTGGGGTTCCCTCCATAACACTGACACCAACAAGCATAACCCTGATCACAAGCCAGGTTTCCTGAACCCCTCAACTGAGAAATAAAAACAAGTTCAATGATCTTGAACTTTGGAGTAAAACAGAATTTCTTGGAGGTGCTCACATAAATTGCCTAAGCCCCACGTTCCAATAATTGTAATTCAGTTGCTCTGGGATGGAGCAAATAATCTGCACTTTTCATGAACCTACCAGAGGATGACAGTGCCACCAAGTGATGAAAGACCACTGTCTATCAAGGGAGGCTTGATTTAAATCTAAAGACTATGCAAAGGAATGCTATGCAACCCCAAAAAAGAATACATTTTGTAGAAAGGGGAGGGAGATAAATAACATGTGTGAGATTAGCTTTTAAATGCACAAGAATATTCTGGAATGATAAAATATAATAATGGTACCCGCCAAGGTTGGACATAATATGCTTAGGAGACAAAGATGTGAGGAAATGCTTTGTTGTCCCCCGTGAGCACTTGAAAACATTACCTATTCCAAAATCAGTGCGGAGTGTTTAACACTAGGTGACTAGTTGAGCTACACTTTCCCTTTTACCGCCTGGACACGCCACGCAGAGGTGCATTTCAGCTGGCACAGGTCAAAAACGCTGACACTGTGAAGGTGTTATCACTTTAAACGGAGCTGGACAAGCCAGACCCTGCGCTGCTAGTTCCTGGCTCTTGGGCAAGTTGGTTAACCTTTCTGCATGGCATTTTCATCATCCATAAATTGGGCTAAAACAGATACACCTCAGAATTGTAGTTTAGGTCAAATTAGATAAAGTTATACTTCAGCTGATTGTAGCATAATACAGTTGATCCTCTGGATCCACAGGTTTCGCATTCGCAGATTCAACCAAAAGAAGACCAAAAATTTTCGGGGGAAAAAAAAAACAACACACACACACACACACGCTATATATAAATAAATAAATATATATATATATATATATATATATATATATATGTATGTCCAGGCACAGTGGCTCACGCCTGTAGTCCCAGTACTTTGGGAGGCAAGGCGGTGGATCGTTTGAGCCCAGGAGTTTGAGTCCAGCCTGGGCAATACGGTGAAACTCCAGTTCTACAAAAAATACCAAAAATTAGCCGAGTATGGTGGAACGCGCCTGTAATCCCAGCTACTCAGGAAGCTGAGGTGGGAGGATCACCTGAGCCCAGGGAGTGATGGTTTCAGTGAGCAGAGATTGCACCACAGCACTCCAGCCTGGGCGACAGAATGAAACCTCATCTCAAAAACAAACAAAATATGTATATATTATCTATCTATACATAGATAGATAATAGATATCTGTGTAGCAACCAGGGGTATCGCATTTACATTGTATTAAGTACTGTGAATATTCTAGAGATTCTTTAAAATACAAGCAAAGCTGTAAATGATAAACAAATGTGCACCATTTTATATGAGACTTGAGCATCCGTAGATTTTGGTATCCACGTGGGAGTCCGGGAACCAATCCTCCAGGGATATCAAGGGAAGACCGTAATTACTACAGTGCCAACTATCATAATAAACAAATAATGCAGGGACTGCCATCGTCACGCAGGATGCCAGCTTTATTCTCCCTTCCAAGACCCCTAAAAGGGTATTAGAGTGATGTACAAGCTAGGAGAACCCAAGAACGCAAGCCACTATTGGCCAACAGGAAAACGCAGGGCACTTCCGGGACGGGGCCTGGGAGGATGGGAGTAGGACTTGGTGTCTTGGTTTGGCACTCCGCTACTGTGACCTGGACATGAATCGGTCTTCAACTCCGCGTCTGACGTCAACGCAAAGGAGGACAAGAACTTGATACTGGACGCCAGGCCCTAGAGCGGCGCAGATGCCCTGCCCCCTAGCGGTCCGTACGAGTATTTCCCCAGCTTGACCTACCAACCACAGCCACGACTATTGGGCAGCAGGGATACCTCTGCCTCTAGGGCGGGTCCTCCAGGGGGCGGAACATTGCGTGACATTTTGCGACTTCGGTTTCACTGCCGTCATTTAAAACATGATTGGTTTTGCAGTGCGCATCCGGCTCTGCGCCAGGAAGGCCCAAGATTCCAACGCGCGAGGCCGAGCCCGGCGGCGGCGAGACACCCCCAGCAGCCCGGACTGCGGTCTCCCGGAGGCGCCCCTGGAGCTCCGAGGATTCACCTTGCGTAGCGCGGTCCTGCCCCCGTTCGTCCCAGTCCGCCTCGCCTACCACCGACACCTGTTACCTCACAGAGGACTGCGTCCCCCGCCCCCACGCCCTCTGCCAGGCCCAGGAACGCCGTCCGTGGCGCCGTCGAGGTAATGGGCAGCCGACCCCGCAGCCCCAGCGCCTGCCCTGCGCACTGGTGGGGACCGCAGTCGGGAGGACCCGACCCTGCCAAGCGCCGCCGATTGGATGAGCCCGCGGGCCTCGAACCCCTCGCGGCGCCCAGCCTAGTAGACCCGGCGGGGGCCCCGGCCGCGGACGCGCTCACCTTCGTGATGGTCCTGGCCGCGGGCAGTTCCCTGAAGGTGTCCCTGAACGACGACAACCTGGTGCTGGTGCCCGCGCCCACGTCGATCATGCGAGTGTCTCTCGGTGGACACACCCTCTTCCTGATCCCCGAGGTCCTCCTAAGCTCCGTCGACGAACGCTCAGGAGCGCAGGGCGACTTGTCTGCCTTCCTAGTAGCGGATGTTTTCCTGGGCGCTCTCAGGGAGGACGTCGTCGTCGAGCAGGAATTCTGCGCGTCTGTCCCAGAGGTCGCCGCCCAGGAGGAGGTCTACGAGGAGGACGCGGACCCCGAGTTCCTGGAGCTCTGGATGGACTCCCCAGCCGGCTCGGCCGCTGGGCCCTACCCCTCCGCTAGAAGTATGTGCGGCCCCTACCGGGAGGGCCTCATCCCAGAGCCCTGTGCTCTGGCCCCCAACCCCAGTTCAGAGAGACGCCCTCCACGCCCCATCTGCGACCAGGAATTCCGCTTTCTGGAGCCTGTTCCCAGCTCACCTCTTCAACCTCTACCGCCCTCTCCGAGTCCAGGTCCCCACGCGCGCCCGGAGCTCCCAGAGCGCCCTCCGTGCAAGGCCCGGAGACGACTGTTTCAGGAATGAACTGCCTCCCACAATCCCTTGCCACCCTGCTAGGGTCCAGGCAACTGTCTCCTGATAGCCGTAGTATGTGTGTGGCGCAACCTACAAGGATCTCCAAGAATGAATAACAGATAGATGTTTTTTGATACAGGCTGGATTGCAGAATTTTGGATCAGTGGCTGATTTAGAATGTCTGGGGAAAAAAGATCCACCTCAGCATAAAAATATGCTAGTTGAAATACAGTTACTTTCAGACTGTGAGATTGCTGCTTCGGGCCTGTTTTGTATGGAAGTCACCCCTAGGCAGCTCCATTCCCCCTGGTTTTGCTTTAAACCTCAGTTCCAGCACTTTTCTCTAAAAATCCACCCCTTCCCCAGCACCCTACCATGGCACGCCTTTTCTCCCAAGTTCATTACTACATTTATTTTGTTTAATGGGTTTTGGCCCTAGTCCCTTTATGACGACCATTCTCACCATGGAACTTTTCCCTATAGTGGCCTGAGCCCCTTTTGGGGAATCTTGCAAATAGTTGTACCTGGACAAATGTTTGTTGTTTCTGAAACAGACAGAACTGGGAATAATGATCACGTGTCCTCCTTTTTTTCATGATTGACTTAGCAAATTGTTTATGTTGCTGGGCTTTCCCCACCCCGCTCCCCCACCAACTCTTACAGCCAGCTCTTTTCCATTCATTTCTTCTTGTATATTGTTTAATATAATTCCTTTATCCTGGAAAAGCTTATAATTCTAAGATTGTTTGTGTGTGTGTTGGTGTTGGTGTTGTTTTATTTGTTTGTTTTTTGAGACAGAGTTTTGCTCTTCTGGAGTGCAATGGTGTGATCTCAGTTCACTGCAACCTCTGCCTCGAAGGTTCAAGCGATTCTCCCACCTCAGCCTCCCAAGTAGCTGGGATCACAGACATGCCCCACCACACCCAGCTAATTTTGTGTTTTTAGTAGAGACAGGGTTTCACCATGTTGGCCAGGCTGGTCTTGAACTCCTGACTTCAGGTAATCCAGCTGCCTCGGCCTCCCAAAGTGCTGGGATTACAGGCATGAACCACCGCACCAGGCCAGAAATAATTTCTTAGGTTGATCTTGTATCAAATAAAATTACTGAATTTCTTTAATGGTTTATCTGTAGATTCTCGATTGATTTATAAAAACAATATCTCCAAATAACGAGAATATTGTCTCTTTTGACAAGCTCCCCATGTCATATTTTTGCTTAATCTTTTGTATTGGATATTACTTCAAGTCCAGGTTGAACAGTATGGTTGATATGGGCATCCCTGTTTTATGCCTTGTGTTAATGCTTCTACATTTTACCACAAAGTATGATCTTTACTGTAGATGGCCATTAGATAACCCTTAACCTATTGAAGCAGTTAATTTTCAGTCTTTCAGATAATGAAAAAGTGCTGGATTTTTGCTTTGTTTTTGCCTAAGTTACTACAGAGATGTTATCAAGTTGTTTTAAATGTTGACATTTTATTATTTGCGTTTATACATAAAATAGCTAGATGGAACCTTTGAGCCATAAGAGTATGTACAGAAACCTGGCAAGAGCACTAATGAGACCAGGCTTTGGGCTTCAGGGATTTAAAACAATTGGATGCTTTATAAGGACCTGAGAAGACACGAGTGGAAGGAGAAAGGCAGTAACTGCAGGGTCCATTTAAGGTTTTAAATGTTAAAAATTTAAGAAACTTTTTCTGTATGCATAAGATGACTTTTTGTAATTTCTTTTTTAATCAACTTGTGGTTTGTTCTAATAGAATTTCTGACTACAAGTATCTTTGCATTTCTGTCTATTCTACAGTATTTTATATGATTCTAGCTCTACCTTGGATTGCTTTTTGTTTTGTTTTTTGCCTTTTTTTGAATGTTTTGTTTGTTTTAAATAACTATATGCAGCGCCAATTTTAAAATGTCATTATTTTACCAGGTTTGCCTCATTTTCGTAATAAATTATTGCCGATAAAGTTAAAGCCAATGAGATGCTAGTTATTTTTTTTCTATTGAACATCAATAATTATTATGTAGATTTTCCAGTATGCTTTACCAGTTAATTTGCTCACCTTCTATTCTTGCATTCCACTCCTTTATTCTGGCTTCATTTGTCTTCTTTCCAAGGTATACTCTTTTTTTAGGAGAATTTCAAAGCTACTGCCTATCAATCCAAGGTATACTTTTTAAGAATTCTTTCGGCCGTGGTTTGTGTGGTAAATCTTGGGTTCATATGTCTGCAAATATTTCAGTTACACCTTCAAACTTGTAGTATTGTAGCTGGGTTTGGAATTCTAAAATAAATCCTATACTCTCTACTTTAAAGATAACTATATTATTTTCCATCCCATTTATTGTTGCAGGTGAGAAGTTGTCATTTGTATTGTCATTCCTTTACACATGATTAGGCTGTTTATGTTAGTATTTTTCTTGACTTTGATGCCTTATGGTTTCACTAAACCTGATGTGTTTGATGGTAGATTTTTACCAGCTGCAACTCAGTGAGCTTTCTATAGCTGGAGAATTAATTCTTCCCATAAGATCTCAAAAAGAAAAGTCAGTATCTCTTAGACTTTTAAACCTCTCTCCAATCTCTTAAACTCCTAATAGAGAAGTTGTGCTGCTTAATCAATGCCCTCTCCCAGATCTCTTAATATCTATATTATATTTTCACACCCTGTATCATAGCAGTTTTGCTCTTCCGATTAACTGATTCTGTCATTGTTTTCAAAATTTATTGTTCCTTATATGACTTTATTTCAAATACTGCATTTTTCATTTTCAATACTTCTGATTACTTAGGTTTTTGATATCTATTTGCTCTTCACAACTTTTATCAATGTCATATAAACTTTTCTAGTTTCACGGATGTTATCTCCTTTATCTCTAGGAGAAATTAAACAATCTTATTTTAAATTCTATATTAATTAGCTCAATAATTATATTTCCTCAGGCATAAAACCTCCAATCATTTGGCAGCATTTAATGACACTGATTTTCCCCTGGGCAAAAATTTTGGTATATAGACATATTTTGAATATGAATTCATTTTCTGTTCCAAATTTGTTTTGTGTTTTAGAGACAGGGTCTCACTCTGTCTCTCAGACTGGAGTGTAGTGGCATGATCATAGTTCACTGCAGCCTTGACCTCCTGTGCTCAGACAGTCCTCCCACCTCAGCCTCCTCAGTAGCTGGGACTACAGGCACGTGCCACCATGCCTGGCTAATGTTTTTTATTTTTATTTTTTGTATAGAGAATCATCTCTGTTGCCCAAGCTGATCTCAAACTCCTGGGCTCAAAAGATCCTCCCACTTTAGCCTCCCAAAGTACTGGAATTACAGGCATGTCTGCTCCATATTTGAATTTCACATTTGCCTCTTTCTAGCTTCCTAAGAGCCAAGGCTCAGAGCCAAACTTTATGGAGCTCACATAACTTGCAACTCAAAAATCACAGTTCCCATCCTCAAGCAATCATACATGGCCCAACTTCGAATTTCAATGCAGTAATGATGCTGGGCTGCACTGCCCATAGTCCCAACCCCATCAAGAATGCTGGGAGTATTAGCAGCTAAACTCAGTTGCTCTCCAGGAATTACCCTTAGCTTCTATGGGTAATCCATGCCAATAACTATTCAATTCGTGGATATATAGGCCCAGTTCACTTGCTTTAAGTTGAGACAACTCTGAAGAATTATCCCAAATCTAGGGCTCTCAGTGAGTTGGCTGAGGCTTTGTTGCAGCTGCATCCCAGTTCAACTCCTCCATGTGTCCTGTCAGATTTTCTTTGTTTTCCAAAATGTCTGCATGCAAAAATTCATCTAAAAGTCTTCCCATATCAATTTAAGATAGCTGGTGTGAGGGGCTGTCATAGGAAGCAGCCACTAAAATGGATTTCAGAGCTGAATCATGGAGCATGAATAGCCCATGGCATGTTACAGGAAAGTAGATAAGATCTTAATCAATGGCAAACTAACTGGGACTCTGGAAAAAGACAATATGCTGGCATTGGCAGAATCCCAGGCATTAGAAAAATTAGGAGCACAGCGTAATTATATGCATGATATTTATAAATAATGGGGAATTGAATAGCTGTTTCTGGGACAATAAATGTATTTGAGAAAGAAAATGAAATCAGAGGGTGATTAATTACCAATAAAACCCAAATATGAAATATAGACAGTCTCCTTGGCAGCATACAAATAGCCTTTCATCTCCTGTAGCTAAGGGGGGGGGAAGCAACTGAGGATCTCATCTGGAATTTACTGCAAAGATAGTGGTGTACTATAAAGGCTAAATTTTCAAACTAGGAAAATCTATAATGGTGAGGTCCCCGCCTTGATTGGACTCTGAAACGTTGGATGAAGATGACCAAGTAGATTCACTTGGATATCAAATCTCAAACCCCCCTCAATCCTCTTGGCCTGCAAAAGTGGCCTACTCCTCTCTATTAAATGTTGGCACTCCACTCTTGCGTAAGATGATATAGAAGCCTCTGCCTAGCAAGATAACATGCACCCACCTCGGGATCTACCTTCACCACCTCTCTTTGCCACAGGCCAGTTACTAAAGCATGTTATAACCTATCCAGGGAAATACTGGGCCTGCAACTAAGGAAAGGGGCTCTATATACCCTAGAATTGCTGTGGCTGTCACCCAACATATACCAGCAAGGGTCAAGTATA